AAGGATAATGTACAAGGCATACTTAGCACGGTGCATAGGCAACTGGCTGAGTCAGTGGGATCGTCGGTTCGAATCCTACTGAAAGAAGTCTGATGAGGAAATGTGGTGATTTCCGAAATAGCTATCACTTCTACCATTTTTTCAAATTATTGTTGCTTTTCCACAATAAAAATTTTCATTTAAATCGGCCTCGAGCTCAATATAAATTGTTGAATATAATTGTTATAAATTCCAAAAAAAAATAACAAAAACAAAATCAAAGATATTTATGCTGACATTTTTCTGAATATTTTCTTTTTTGTGCCATAGAAAATACAAAAATTACTTAAAACTTCTAAAAAAATAACTGTTCGCTTAATCGCTCGGAAAAACTCTAAATTCTTCCTATTCACTGTATTACCCACAGTTTCCAGTGATTTAGGATTTTTCTCTTTTTAGGTAGCAATTTAGACGTACACGTACACAGCCTAAAAATTAATATACGCTGTCAAGCGTTATTATTAAATACCCGGCGCAAGTATTAAATATATGTTTTTCACCTTTCCGAANTTGTCAAGCGTTATTACTAAATACCCGGCGCAAGTATTAAATATATGTTTTTCACCTTTCCGAAAGCTACCGCTACATGGTAAGCCGGGGTGTATCAGTTTTGAGTACATTGGCGTCCTTAAATTTCGAAATATCGCAGTTTCAAGCATTTCTGAAATTTACCGTTATATGAAGAGCGGCCGCAATTTCAGTCCGATTTCAATACTTTTCGGCGTTTTGGTTCTATGGGGCAAGTACCACCACCAAGTTTAGTACAAATTGGTGGAACGGTATTCGAACGTATTTCGATAAGGAATTGTTGCAAGCCTCAATTTTGAATAAATTATCTTTAATATTTACTGATTTATCGAAGATTTCGTATTTCTCTAAATTACTGTTATATGGGATGTGGGCGTGGTTACTGTCCGATTTTAAAATTTTTCGGCCATTTTATATGTCGTATCAAGGCCAACAACTGTGCCAAGTTTGAAAGAAATTGGTGCAGCGGTTACCAAGGTAAACACATGTAACCATAAGTGGGCGTGGCTACGCCCATTTTCCAAAAATTTTTAATATTCTTATTTTTTTATCTAAACCTTATTGTAAATATCAATTTTGAGTGAATAATCTTCAGTAATTACTTAAATATCGCAATATTTCTGAAAATTACCGTTATATGGGAGGTAGGCGTGGTTATTGTCCGATTTTTCTCATTTTCAATACCATCCGTCCTACGCCAGAAATCAGTACACGTACCAAGTTTCGTTAAGATATTTCAATGTTTACTCGAGTTATCGTGTGCACAGACGGACGGACGGACAGACAGTCACCGCTTAATCGATTTCTCTTTTCATTCTGATCATTTATGTATACATTTGTCTATATCTATCTCGATTCGTTTTGCCTGTTACAAACAACCGTTATGTGAACAAAGTTATAATACCCTTGTGCACAAGTGCGCTCGGGTATAAAAATAATTAGCTCTAAATAGTTTCAAAAAGTACAGTGTAAAACGAAATTTATTGAATAATTCTACATAAAATTATATACGTAAAGGACTCACTATGTAAACCAGTAGTGTCCAACCGGTAGCTCGCGACCTAAATTCTAGGCGCCCACAAAGATGAACAGAATATTTTGTATTGAATTAAAAAATTTAACAATTGGAAGCTTTTTTGGTATATAAGTAGGCTTTTATTTTTGAATTTTCACGAACTCATTCACTTCTTATATTTCTATGCTAGACATTACAGAATCTCTGTTTCAGGATTTTCAAAACAAAAACAGCGTAATCTCAGCAATAAAAAAGTGTCGTTATCTGATGACCTCAGAACGATATTCATGGCCAAATAAATGCGATTTCAAGAAATGTGACTAGGTTTCCTTACAAATGGATGAGTCGACCGATGTTTCAGACTCTCCGCACTTATTAGTGTTCACCAGAGTGGTATTTTCTGATTTTTCTGCTAAGGAGGCACTTTTAGTCAATCTGACTTTGGAAACTCGTATTTGTGGGCAAGATATATGTATATATAACGTAGTGAAAAAAAGGAAAATCTGATTGCAAAAACACTCAACCTTGACAATGTTATGAGCACGATCATTCGTATTGTGAATTTGATTCGCGGATGACCGTTAAAGCATCGACAATTCAAAGCCTGCTCGAAGAATTTGAGAGTGAATTCGGTCACATATTCTACCACTCTGAAGTAAGATGGCTGAGTCAAGGTAAAGTACTCTCAATATTTGTAGCTTTGATGACAGAAATAAAGATTTTCCTGAAATCCAAAGGCAGCATCTTTAACTGATGTGACTGCAAAACTAAATGATTTCAATACCACTTTGCAATCTCAAAATCGATGTGTGGATTGATAAAGAAATACTTTCAACATTTGCAGACGTTTACTCTTCTGGAACAGGCTTTTTCACAACTAATGGTTATAAAAAACAAATACCGAAACGTACTGACTGACGAACATGTCACAAATAACATGATTTTAGCCTGCACAGCTGTGCCATATAAACCAGATTTTACGAAGTTATCTGAAAATATGAAGATTCAAGCAACATATTAAGTTCATTGGGCATTTGCTGCGAGTCGTACGATTTTAAATCGGTGCGATTTGCAAACTATTTTTGATTATTTTTAGGGAAAGTAATAAATATTTCAAATGAAAACGGCGAGAAACACATAACTTACGTCATATCTATCGACTCAGTGCCAAATTTTGCCGTTTTGTTAATCAATCTCCGAAGAAGGTTTTGCAGATCGCATCGATCCCAAATCGTACGAATTGCAGCATATTCCCATATGTTTACAATAAAATGAATGTTCTTCATTAAAATATTATGCACTGTTAACTGTATAAACTTTAATAATAAATAAACATTTTAAAAGAATGAGTTAGTAGAATATATACATTGAATATAAGAAGAGTGAAACGAGTTAACGCTGTTAAGATCGAAGTTAAGCTAGCGGTGCCCGCGTATTATAGCGATAGTTTCAAAGTAGCCCTTTCTCCAAGTTCTGTTGAACACCACTGATGTAAACNTGAAGTTAAGCTAGTGGTGCCCGCGTATTATAGCGATAGTTTCAAAGTAGCCCTTTCTCCAAGTTCTGTTGAACACCACTGATGTAAACTATTGGAATACAACTTGTTTCATTATGTTTTTTATGCAAAATGATAATGACTATCTGAACGCTCGGACCGCTGCCACCAAAATGAGAAACTACAGAAAAAATACTGCTCTGGTGCTACTTGTGCCGTGGTGAATATATATTTCTATTTATTTTCTTCTGTTTACGCGAAATACAAGCAGGTAGTAATTTTCATTGAATTTCTTCAAGAATCTGTACATTTTATGCTTTTGTTTTATAATTCCACGAATTTTATGTGTTAGCAAGAACAAGGGATATGGCGGAGGAATGCTTTTTAAACATCTTAGCGATGGGCTGTTTACCTGCTGGATACTTGCAATCTCATTTGCAAAAGGTATGTATGTATATGAAATATTTCTTGTTGAGAGAATTTTAAACTAAAGGAATTAACTACTTTTATGTAATTATTGTAGAGATGACACGCACACTGCCACTTTAAGGTATTTCTTTTCTGAGGAATTATGTAGCAAAACGAAGAGGAGCCGTGCAAAATTTCGGGCAGCGATTTCTTGCAAGTTCATGGGTACGAAGGCAGCTTTTGGATAAATTAAACCGAAATTTCTGCAACATGAATTAACATGAATCAATGTCATTAGTATACGGTGATGACCATGATGTGAAATTAGGTTGGCTAGGATTCCAACAATGAAATGATGAAAAACATCCTCATCGAATACGATATAACTCTGTTGGATGGCAATCCACGTCGCTGTGAACCAACGAAATTCGGTGATTCAGGTGCCCGTGCTCTTGCAGGAAATATGGTTAAGCATTGGTTGCGACATATGTACGCTTAATAATATTTTATAATGACACTCTCGAGAGAAAGACAAACTTTTTCTTAAATCAGCTTTAAGTTACAATAAAAAGGAAATATTGTGGTTAAGGAAATGCAGTTAAATTTTTTTTTGTATTTTCCACACCACCACTGAGGTATACAATCAGGCGCGTTACCGATTTTTTAAGGTGGTCGGTTCCCCATGAGGCCTATTATCACCTTTTAAACTAAATACATAATTAAAGTTATATATAAATAAAAAGTAAGGCATGCAAAATCAAAAATTCATATGTTTGTATGTATATACGTGNTTTCCTACTCAATAAAAAAGAAATATTGTGGTTAAAGAAATGCAGTTTATTTTTTTTGTATTTTCCACACCACCACTGAGGTATACAATCAGGCGCGTTACCGATTTTTTAAGGTGGTCGGTTCCCCATGAGGCCTATTATCACCTTTTAAACTAAATACATAATTAAAGTTATATATAAATAAAAAGTAA